AACTGAACAGAATGCTTTAAATAATTCGCTGCCGAAATCTCTATCTTTGAAACGTTCAAACTCATCGCTTTAAGTATTTTGCCTTAACTCACTTGCATCCTAGTGAGGATTAACGGAATGAAGAAGTTATGTCTAACCATTATTAGAATCCCAAATCATAAAAAATCTGATGCGTACACCACATGACTTCCCTATTATCACATGACACCATATGACTGTACAGAATATTAAATTATACGCATTTTTTCCCGCGTTTCATTTAAACTTATTGAATTGAATTAAATCTACTTCGTCCATAGCACATAAACCACAATTGAATAAAATCGCTTTTTAAAATTCACTATATTTATTTACCATAAACTTACTCTGGCGCTAGCTTCACTTTAGAGTGTTAATCTCATTCGTTTTATAACTCAGAATGCACAAAAATTATATCATTTGATGAATTATCGAATCGTTGCCACACGTCCTATTCAAATACTATAATAAATCGAAAACGATGTATAAAAGAAATTAAACAAACAAAAAATAAGCAGTCTTTCACAGACGATTCAGCGCTACTTAACTAATATACATGCGCTACTCGTAAACATTGTCCTCTTTCTGAAACAGACTGGCAACAGTATTTTCTGTTAATATGAAACACTTTTTTATTTCCTCGAATTTTATTAGAGGTATATTCCTCATTCAACTAATTCATTTCGCGGTAAGGCAAAAGTAACAAAAACCCAAAATATCTTCATTGAAAATTAAAAGATATAGAAAAACATAAAACACCAAATACAATTAAAAAATTAAAAAAACAAAGATTACAATTATACAGTTTCTGTGCAAAAAAAGCGATTTGGTCAGCGGGCAAGAAGACTTACTTTTCGGTGCACAAAAGTGAAATTTTACTTTTGGTCTTACTCGGCAAAAAGACACTTAAGACGTAGAAACTGATTTAATTTCTTGTGGAGGCTATGCTGAGCCAATATATGGGATAATTGACAACTTAAATGATAATTCCAAAATGGATTAAACATAATTTAATTTGCAATAATAAAAGAAGACTTTACTTGATGTTGTTGTGAAGCATAGTTTCTCTATATTGGCAACAAATCCACTATTCTGCTAAGTTTCAAATGTAAACGAATATGACTACTATTGTAAAAAAATGGGTTTAGCCGCATTTAAACAATTTTTAAAATGTTGATAATTTTACAACTATAACATGCACATTAACTAAACGCGTAAAAAACTTAACCGGAAGATAAGAGCAACATAATTCAATCATTTTTAAAGCAAAAAATGCACAATTTACACACATACAAGATTAAAGAATGTGAGCTCGAGTATTAAAGTGAATATATATACACATATTTATATACTTTTGGGTCAGCCGAACGCAACCAAAAAGAGAGGTGCACAACTACATGTTATAGTAGTCTTACATACAAAATTTCGACGTTCTGAGGCTATTCGTTTTTGCGTTATGCGAGACACATACATACGTACGTTCGTACAGATGCCACGAAAAAAATCTCTTTTGAAATCATTTTAAATGAGTTTTATAATTCATTCGGGGAGAAAGAGTCCTTTATTCTGTCCTTACATACAGATGTCACGCAAAAACATCATTAAATTGCATTCGATAGCTATCAAAACGGATATCTTCGTTGAAATATCGTACCCGGAATTTTTCATGATTACAACACTTCCTTTGCTTCGTACAAGGAAGTAAGAAATGTTTAATAAAATACCTTATAAATGCTGTCGGCATTTTGTTAGAAATCTGAAGACGGTTTTATATCAAAAAGATGCTCTGATGTCTTTTGAGCTTATCAGAAACTCTGAAGTTCTTCGGGCAGTTAAAGATAAATCAAAGCCGTTAATGTTCAAAGTCTTTGATTAAAGCCTCCACTAATGTGCAAAAGACAATAAGAAGGATCCTGATTTAATTTGCCTGATGTAGCTAACAGCGTCTTTGTTTCCTATTTAGGTTAATTCGAAATTAATTTTCATACCGTAAATTTGCATCTTAAATCTGTCCATGACTAAAATATGCGTTTTTACGTATTAATCGTATGCTCTTTTAAATAAAATCCGAACATATTTCGCACCATATGCATTGTTTATGTGATATATATTTTAAACTTCTCAATAATGTATTTGTTCCGTGTCTGTATAAACTATTACAATGTGTTGTTGATAAAACGAGGGCGGATGAACTGAATACTTTCTAAAGAGACTTAATGCTTATTTGTTGGGAACTACGGAAATACTACTGTTACAAACCATCAGCGTAAACAAAGTTGTCTAGGAAAAAATGCAAAAAGGAAAAGCGAATGTTCGGGATAACACCAGTAAGATTAGATGCTGTCACATTTGTATCATAAGTTTGATAATATAGAGATTTTGTTATTATAGCAGATGATGAGTAGTTGATATAGCAGATAGATAACATAGCAGGTGATGTAATATTAACATTCTCTGAAGATTATAACTGAGTTTTCTCATTTTTGACAATGTACATAGTATTCCTTTAAATTTGAACACTGATGTAATTTACATGCCCAAATGAAGTTATTCTTGAGGTTAAACAGCTTGGAAACACAGGTAAATTGTTAAAAGCATTTTTGTGTTAATCATAAATTAAGTTCTTTCTTTCCTGAGTCTTTTGTTTTAAAACTGATTTTAAACTGACCGCGATTTTGTGTTAAAAGTAGATGTCATATTCGATATTACCCTGCTGACTGTAATTCTATCGAAATTTAAATCCAGAAAGTATCTGCTTATGGCTACGTATTCTACCAAATGGCTAGCCAATGACTTTCTAAAGAATGTTTCAAAAAATTTAAATACCTTTATGTAAGTAAGTATCATCCTGAATTTTTGTTTTAGCAATATACACATGTCTTCCCCTTGCCATTCAGTTTTATTTTATTTCAATTCAGTAAAAATGTATTCTAAAGGTAATGCATTTTAAGGTAATAATGTATTCTAAAGCAATGTAATGTATTCTAAGGCAATAACTTATTCTAAAGGTAATGTATTCTAAGGTAATAATGCATTCTATTGTTCTGTTCCTATGTGTATTTAATGAGCCAGTTGTCGTTATAGGCCATGGCAATACAGCCGTTTATATTTGTCTGTGTATTTCAAAACTGTAGTAGCGGTATATATATATTAAATGTATGAAACCATGTTTTCCTGAGTTTTATATCCTTATTGTTCCACTAATATTGTAGCGAAAATTGCTCTTTTCGACCGAGCTCCTCATAGCTTAGCGGAAAAGATGCAAGACTCGAAACTCGAAGGTTCCGGATTCGAAACCCACAACGGCAAGATGTCTGCTAATTGGTTTTTATTTCGAGTCTGGAATGTTCCAACGTGTTCACCAGCTGTATATAAGTAGTTCTTCATTCAGTTCGAATATGTAAAAAGTCTTGAGTTTAGACTTGAGTACTTGCTTGTTCATTTGTAAGATTCCCTTCATCTACGCGACAGTTTGGTGGAGGCACCGGGTATCACTCAGTTACTACGGCAGAGTTATGCCGAAGACTGTGGATTCGAGGACTTCCTCCTGAGTTTGGACTCTTACAGGATTCGCGTGAAAGATCGAGAAAGATGGTTGATGAGAAGGAAACCGAGCAGAATCCTCTAGCAGCAGCTAGTTTCGCTTCGACACCTATCGCACCAATACCGATCCTAACGTACCAACTACCCAGAAGCCCGTGTATATTCACCGGGGACAGCCAAGGTGGCTCACGGACTTTTACCAGTTGATCGAATTGATAACTATAACCACTCGGATGATCAAATGTGCCTGGCGAACGTCATTTTTTACCTTGGCGGAACCAATCGACAGTGGTTTGATAATAATGAAGACACATTTACCAGTTGAACCGTTTTCAGGAATGCTCTTAAGAATACCTTTTCCCGAGCAGCTGATGTAAAGCGCCAAGCTGAACGAATACTACTCACAACGTACCTAGCAAATCGATGAGACTGAAGCTTACATTCAAGATATTCTCGCTCTCTGCCGAAAAACAAACCCATCCATGTTTGAAGACGAGAAAGTGGCCCATCTCATGAAAGGTATTGCTGAAGATTTTGTACCAGGTCCTGTCGTCCCAGGACTATGACAGCGTCGATGCCTTCGTGAAACGCTGCCGCCGTCACATAGAAAGCCTTCGACGAAGACGTATCGCCCGATCACGATTCCAGAGGCTGCCTAATGTCTCCGCGGTGTCGCCGATGCCGATGCGGACGCCAGTGAACTAAGGTCTATAGTGCGCACCATCGTCAGAGAAGAGCTTCAGAAGGTCCTTACGCAAGTTCAGGGCTACACGGAAATAGAACCCGTAGCACCGAATGACATAGCATCTGTGGTCCGGGAAGAGGTTATAGAGGCGCTGGCACCACTCACAGGAGCAGGGAGAAGCAAAAACACTACCCAATGTTCACTTCCAGTTAGGTCGCAACCAAGACGTGAAGCCAGCCAGAGAACTGCTCCACAACGTAGGACACAGATCTGTGGAGGACTGACGATAATGTACCTCTCTGTTTTCATTGCGGACGCCAGGGACATGTTCTGAGGTACTGTAGGGAGAGACGCCAGATATTTTAAAATGCAAGAGCCGCAAAAACACGTCCAACCCTAGACGGGACAACGATACTGAATCTACATACAGCTTCGACAACGAATATGCACAACCTAGTTCTTCCCGAATAAGGAGCAGTTCACCTTATCCGCGAAGCTCTCTCAACCGCCGACAATCGCAGTCACCAGCACGCCGTTCCAGCCTTCCTCATGCTGAACCAATGAGGAAATGAGGAGAACTAGCTCAAGCGACCTATACTGGAGGTGAGGCCGCAGCTGAAGAAACACCACAGCAAGTACACGTACACCACAGCCAAGTTGGAAAAGAATAACACTTTTATCACCGTGAACGGACAGTGTGTGAAAGCCCTTGTTGATTCGGGTGCCGATTATTCTGTCATATCCGAACAGTTACGTCGACAGCTAAATGCTCCTATGTTTGCTGAGAATGGACCTGTATTGAAAACTGCCTGTGGTAAAACTGTAGCTGCCTCGGGACGCTGTGTATTGAAAGTTGATTTGAATGGGACTAAGAAGCCGTTTGAATTCCTTGTGTTTCCTGAATGTAGTCATCAAATGATACTTGGATGGAACTTTTTCCGTGCCACCGATGCCGTTATCGATTGTGGAAATCAAGAACTTACACTTGCAGAAATCCTTCCAGACATTGAATATTTAAATAAGTCACAGCTCTCCTTGTTTGCCGCAACCGATTATGTAATTGAAGCAAACACCGCAAAGCGAATATGTGCCTTGAATTCAGAGCTACGGGAAGCAGATGAAGCTATGATTGTTGGAAATAGAGTTCTTATGTGCGAAAAAGAACTATCGATACCAGCCTTCAATTGTCACTATAGAGGATGGTTGTGGTAAATTATGGGTAACTAATTGTTCTCGACGAACCCAACTGATACCGAAAGGGATGATGAATGTAGGCTATTTAACGACCATAAAAACGACGCTATTTGCTCCCTCAGTGATCAGGCTCCAGCAGGTTCCAAGGGACATAGGTCCAGGAAAAGGTTATCTCAAGAAAACTTAAAAGAAATTTTTGATACTGATTTGACCAATGCTGAGAGAAAGACGAGCTATTGAGTCTACTAGATGAATTTAGTGACATTTTTGACTTTAACAGTATTGCGAAAAAATCCCGATGCAATTCGGTGAAGCACAAGATTGATACAAGTGACAGTGCACCAATCAAACAAAGGCCATACCGTGTGTCAGCCACTGAGAGGCGTGTGATTGCAGACGAAGTGCAACGAATGCTAAAAGAAGATGTGATACAACCATCAGACAGTCCATGGTCATCTCCAGTCGTGCTTGTGAAGAAGAAAAATGGTGAATGGCGTTTTTGTGTCGATTACAGAAAATTGAACAAGGTAACTAAAAAGGACGTCTATCCGTTACCTCGCATCGATGATGCTTTGGACTGCCTGGCTGGTGCAAAACTTTTCTCTATGATGGATCTGAAGTCAGGCTACTGGCAAATAGATGTTGATGATAAAAACAGAGAAAAGACAAGCTTTTTTGACTGACCAGATGGTCTCTATGAATTTAAAGTCATGCCGTTCGGATTATGCAATGCTCCAGCCACATTTGAACGGATGATGGACACGGTACTAAGAGGTCTCAATCGGAATATTTATCTTTGCTCCCTCGACGACATAATCGTGTACGCACCTAATTTCGAAGAACGTGAAAAGCGTTTGAGGGAAATACTGAAATGTGTCCAAACAGCAGGACTGACGCTAAATTCCAAGAAATGTTCATTTGGCAAAAAGAAACTGACTACTTAGTCGATCAACATGGGATATATCCCGATCCAGCCACAGACAAGCGCCGATACGAAGAGAGGCATCGACTTGTCAGCTACAACTTTGGAGACTTTGTCTGGGTCTTGACTTCAGTACGAAAGGTTGGGTTATCCGAATAGCTCCTAAGACGTTACTTTGGACTGTATCGAATAATACGACAGCTCTGTGAAGTGGCGTACGTAGTAGAAAGTATGGAACAAAATAAGAAACGACCGAATTCAAAAGACATCGTTCACTGTTTTGGGATTTGAAGCCCTATCTTAATCCAAACCAGATACAATTCTGACGCTAGCGGCTATGGTATCGGTGCAGTACTGGTTCAGATCCAGGATGGCAAAGAAAGACCCAATAGCCTATGCATCCAGGTCCCTTACTGCAGCTGAAAGGAACTATTCCACCACCGAAAAAGAATGCCTTAGCCGTCATCTGAAAATGTAATTGTAAATTCAATTTAATCAATTTTACTAATATAATTAATAAATCCAATAAAATTGGGCAATTAGTAAAATGTAATTAGTAAATTCAATTTAATCAATTTTACTAGTAATTAATAAATCCAATAAAATTGGGCAATTAGTAAATTCAGCCATACCTCTACGGAAAACGGTACTACCTTCACGGTAGTCACAGATCACCACTCTTTACGTTGGTTGGCCAATGTTAAGGATCCATCCGGAAGATCACTTTACCACCGTGCAGCCTGACCACTTGCACGGTGGCCTCTCAGGTTGCAGGAATATGACATAAATATCGTCTGCAAGAGCAGTCGCAAACACTCCGGTGCAGATTCACTATCAAGGAAGCATATTATAGAATAAATAATTGAGAACAATGAAGACATCCCTTTCAACTCTCAGAGAGGTGACGCATATCAAAATTATCAAATAAGAAATGGTATACTGTACAAAAGAAGCTATGATCCTATGGGACAGCAATGGTTCTTGGTGGTACCAAAGCAACTTTGTAGCGAGGTTCTAAGAAGTCTTCATGATCCTCCAACGGCTGGCCATCTCGGATTTGCCAAAACGTAAGACCGAATAAGGAGGAGGAAGTACCATTGGCCAGGGCTATATGGAAGCACACGGCGGTATGTATCACACTGCCGAGAATGCCAAAGACGGAAATCACCGCCGCAACGTCCACCAGGACAGCTTCATCCGATAAAAAACCTCCTGACACACCGTTTACCAAAATTGGAATAGATCTACTTGGACGCTTTCCTGTTACTCGAAATGGGAAAACCGGTGGATTATAGTTTGCACAGATTACCTTACCAGATTTGCAGTCACAAAGGCAATACCGACAGCTGAGGGCACCGAAATTGCCAAGTTTATAGTTGAAGAAATTGTGTACTGAAGCATGGTGCCCCCCCCCAAAGAAATGATAAGTGACCGAGGACGCAACTTCCTATCCAATGTTGTTAAAGTAATTCATCTATGCAAGACGTCTCATCTGCTGACGACTGCTTACCACCCTCAGACCAATGGCTTAACTGAAAGATTCAATAAAACATTGGCAAACATGTTGTCCATGTACGTAGACATTGAACAGGAAAATTGGGATACTATTCTACCATTTGTAACCTATGCCTATAATTCAGCCAAACAAGACACAACGGGATTCAGCCCATTCTTTCTCATTTATAGCAGAGATATCCAGACTCCTCTCGACGTAATTTTCCCATACAGTATCGAAGATTCCGAAGATAGTTATGCGCAACATCTGATCACTAGAGCTGAAGAAGCTAGACAGCTTGCAAAACTCCATATTCTTAAAGCGCAAACCACAGACAAGCGCCGATACGACGAGAGACATCGACCTGTCAGCTACAACTTCGGAGACTTTGTCTGGGTCTTCACTTCAGTACGAAAGGTTGGGTTATCCGAAAAGCTCCTAAGACGTTACTTTGGACCGTATCGAATAACGCGACAGCTTTCTGACGTGACGTACGAAGTAGAAAGTATTGAACAAAATAAGAAACGACCGAATTCAAAAGATATCGTTCACGTATTGAGATTGAAGCCTATCTTAATCCAAAAGTACAACTAGACGATGAAAGAAAGCCCAATATTTCCAGAACCAGACCAGATCGCAGCGGGACGCTACTTCTTCTTTAGAAGGGAGAAATGTAGCGAAAATTGCTCTTTTCGACCGAGCTCCTCATAGCTTAAGACCAGTTTACATCTGTCAGATCCGGTCGTAGCGAGCCGCTTGTCCGTGCGTTTCGAACCGAGTGAACGGACTTGTACTCTGATAGATTGTTTACACCAATCAAAGTGGACTGACAACTCGCCTCCGTTTGTTTACGAAATGGATACCGACTTGGCAGCTGCAGGAAAGAATATGCATTGAACATACATAGATGTTCTTTGGCTGCAGTGCTTGAAGTCTGGGAAGCAAATAATCTGCTGTAATTAATTATGCAGAGTTCTGACTGGAACTGTGTTATTTCTAGAGAAGAATGCAAAATTAACACATGGAATATTTATTCAAAGCAACCATTAACAGGTCGGAAGTAAAATGTATAATATCTACCTAATTATTCAGAAAATCTTAAATAAATAAGAAGTAGCAAAAAACTTGGGAGCATTACATATATTACCACAGGTAAAAGAATATGTATATTATGACATAGTTCCAACAGGAAGATATTTATCTCAAATTCTTACTTTTGGATCCTACTGAAATTGTGTTTCTGCGCAACACACAAAGTGATATCAACAAAATTAATAATGGTTAAATATAGTGATTATATTTTACTTTTAAAATGCTAAAACGGATAGTTTAAGAAGATTAGAATTCGTCTAGCATAAATTTGTATAAACCTTAATACACCTTCAGTACACTCACACATCCAAGCTGAACATGTTTCACATCCAAGCTGAATTGTAACGAATTATAGCCCAGAATGTTTTTATACAAAGCAAGAAATTTAAATATCCCCAATAAAACAGATCTACATATTTTTTTCATAATTCCATTTTTATTTTTATAGTTTATAATATATATTTATTGCATCCTCATGTAGGATGCTTGTAGAAAAATGAACATAAGCTCACATAATTATAGAAGTATGCAACATCTTAATGAAGCAGTGAAGTGTTCCCTAAAACACTTCATAAAATGCGTATGCATTAAAAAGTGCCGTGGTTTGGCTATCGCTTTACATCTCGGCATTATAGAACTCACTGTCACGACGTCCCTGCGAACGCTGCTCGGACTAACTGTCCGGATAGATTTTTCAACAGGTTCAAAGTAGAAACGGAAGCGCTGACTCATCTCCCCTACGTTTCTACTCCGTCGAAGTGAGCGTTTACACTGTCAAGTAATCGTAACGAGCGACTTGCTCCGAGCCGCTCTGACAGGTGTAAACTGACCTTTAGCGGAGAAGACGCAAGATTCGAAACTCGAAGGTCCAGAGTTCGAAACCATTCAACGGCAGGATGCTTGATAATTGGTTTTTATGTAAATTTCCTTCTTGTTATTGTTATCTTATTTATGTAAATTTCCTTCGTATTCTTCCAGAACATTTCAAGTCTGGAATGTTCCAGCATGTTCACCAGCTTTATATAAGTAGTTCTTCATTCAGAATATAAAAAGTCTTGAGTTTAGACTTGAGTACTTGCGTGTTTATTTGTAGGATCCCTTCATCTACGCGACAATATGATTTTCACCTACCATTCTTCCCTTTGTGGATGTACTAGCATATAACCGTCTTCCCAAATTCTCTGCTTCTTATATATATAGATAGATATATATGTATATAGTATAAACTTAAAGCATCTAAATTTATTATTAAATTGTAAGAAAAGAAAGATAATTCCTCTATAATATAATTATTGCAACCGTGTATAAGAGGTTTAACATAATATCAAAACAAATCCAAGTAAAGAAAGAATTCATTGCAAAACAAACTTGAAAAATTAAAATGCGAAAAGGAGCATATACAAAACTAAAAATTAATCTCCTTTATTGAAACTCCAATTAAAAACTCATCAGGGAAAAAGGAATTAAAGTTTCATAAAAGTCGATTAATATATTTCGAAAATACGTTTCGTTTCCCTGGTTCATTTGAGAACAAAAACCGTAAAAAGATTTCATCACATTTTTATTAAAGACTTTAAAATTCATATAAAACCGAAACCTGCAGCTATAGCGCAGGACAGATTTAATTCTAATTTTTAGCCTATTTTTATATTTCTTCGTATATGTATATAGTATATATAAATTTTTACCACTTATTTAAGTGGATATACCAATCATATTCAAATTTATATCACATTATAGATTATTCATATTTGTATGTTCCAGATCGATTTCTCAAGGGGCTATAATCAGAAGTATCAAAACCTGAATAATTCAAGACATCTGTATCAAGTTTTATTCCGCATAAACTTTGAGCATATTTAAGGATAAAAATAAAATGCACAATAAAATGAAATGGAAATTTAAAAGGATAAATGAAAACTACATACATTATTTACACCGCATGCTTAAAAACGTATGCATTTACACCGACTTGAAAAAGTGTAGCTCAAATAAGTATTTAGTTCATAATTTAACAAAAAGGTTACCATAAAAGTATAAAATATAACTGAATAGAAAATATAGTAAATACACGTCAATTTATATTGAAAATACAGAAGTCAGTTTAACCATAGTATGTAAAGTTACTAAATATTTGACTCATAACTAATTTAGTAATATAAATGTTGTGAAAA